GTTATCTTTTGTCTATTGGTTTTAAAAATATCTTTATCTATATTTTTATCTTAAACTTCCTTAGTTGGGCCTTCCTCTTAGGAAGAGTCTTTTGGTTCTCTGTATTTTATACAAAACATGTTATGGAGTTTCTGCAAGATACCATACGACCATTCCAAACACTTAGCCACAAGGGATGATTCAATTTAGTGTAGTCCTGTGCATATTAAACACAGCCGAACACCGAATTATTATTTTTTGTCATAAAATTCCCAAGGTGTTTGAATCCTTTGATTTTTAAAACACACACTCAAGACTAACAAATATCCTTTTGAAACCCTGTTTCTGTTTGCTGGATACATCTGCCTTATGAATTAAGGAAGCCAGGTACCGTGTTCAACAAGGAGGTAGCTGGCAAAAGGTATACTCAGTAGCCTTTAACATCTGGCCAACTTTTGCCAAAACTCGTTACAAAGGGGTATCTATTGTATAGGGATATCTACTTGGGAGATGGGAGGGCTAGAGAACCTAAGACTATAAGGGCTGCAAGCTATGAGAGTCCGCTCTTCCCTCAGTTAACCTCCATAGAGAAACAGCTTCTAGGAAACACAGGATCAACAGAGACAAAAGTCCAGTATCCCAAGGCCCCGAAGTCCCAGTGCTTCTCCCCAGGGACTGGTCTTTAAAAGGAGGACGCCTCCTTCCAACCTCAGTGTGAGTTAATAAATGGTAGCAGCGCAAACTGCGCATCCCGGGGACCCATTTCCTGATCGCCCCAGAACCTTCTCAACAGCACTCTTGCTCCCCCGGACCCCCTGAATAGCCGGGTGCCAGATGGCCTAGGTGCGCCAGGTGCGGCGTGGGGGCCTCGGGGTGATGAGTGGGTCCCTTACGGTTTCCCGTAGCTTCCGCTCCTGGTCCAGCTCGCGCTGCAGGCTGCCCGCACGCTCCTCCGCGGCATCCGCCTGCTCCTGCAGGCTCCGGATCTTTCTCCGCACCGCCTCCAGCGAGCTGCTACCCGCCATGGCGAGGCGGCGGCTGAGGCTGTGCTCTGCCTCCGCGCTCTGCAGCTGCAACTGCTGCTGCAGCTACCGAGCCCAGGTCCGGTTCGTCCCGCCCAGACTGGCTTTGCAACTCCGGCGCCCTCTGCGGCTAAGAAGCAGCCCGGAAGTCACGGCCCGGGGGCCGCACCAAGAAAGCTGCGGGCGGGTGCGCGAGCGCGGGGACAGGCGCGGCCGGCAGTCGGGCGGGGCCCGGTGGACCCCGGGAACTGGCTGCCCATGGAACCACTGCGCGTGCGCGCGGGGCTGGCTGGCTCCAGGCTGCTTTGCCTAGAGCGAGGCCGCCGCAGGAGGGCGTTTGCATCCATTCCGCTGAGCTTGGGCTACTCCAAGGAGAGGACCTGGATACTAAAGCCTATGGCGACTCCTGTTGGCCATTTGAAGCCCTCCGAAATCCAGATTGCCCTGAAGAAGTTGAGTAAGGATAGGAACCTAGACCTTGAGCGTTCCCTAAACTCTTCTAGTCGTAAAGAACGCCATCATTCCTAATGCTAAAGGCATTGACAACTCCTGGCCGCTCGGAGCGCTCTGTAATCCCGATTTCCCAGAGTCTGAACAAGGAACTTGGAGCCTGAAATATGACTATCCTAAAGATCCTTGTAAGAACCACAGAACATAAGATCCTGACGAAAAGAACCCCAGCAACCAAACTATCTCACCAAGTGTCAATTGCTAGCTGACAAAACGTAGTGGTTAGATCTCCTGCTCTAAATGCAGCGTTTTTAAGGTTTGAATCTGGCTCTTAAGTCTCTGCTGGCTGTGTGCCTTTGGACAAATGACTTCTCAGGGCTTCAGCTCTTAAAAGCGAGTATAATAGTACAGGGCTCTTCACAGGGCTGTTGAGAATTATCAGATGATATAAAACATTTAACAGTGCCTTACATACTTAAGAACTCAAGCTATATAACTAAGCACACACACACTACCATAAGAGTTTGTCTGGACCCCATAACGAACTGTGCAACCTCAGGCAATTCAGCCTGATATCTGGAATCTGAGGAACAGGGTATGCAAGACTACAGAAACCTGTGACAGAACCTCTGGTTACCAGCTGGAAAGCCACATGGACACAATCTGTAAAGAACCAATCTCTGTCATTCCTTCTTGCGCTATGGTTTTAAAAGCCTGTCAAGTCTCTGGGCTTTTAATCCTGCACCGTTGTCAAAGAGTCAGTCCTGCACTTGTTTAAATGTGCCGCGTGGAGAATGGAAACAAAGGTAGAAAAAGAAAACACGCCTTCCTGGCCTGTCTTCCAAAGCTGGAACACCTCCGAAAATTCCTAGTCGCCTCAAGTCCGGTAGGTGGAGCCTCTTGCTTGGTTTCCAAGCAGTCGGTCCGCAAACGGTGGTGGCTACAGATCCTCCCCAGAGCTCACAAGGCCATCTGCCTCCAACCTTGAGACTGCCCAGACAGGGCATCTGCAACCCTCCAAGGGCAGCCAGGGGACATACTGGTCAGTTGTCAGTGCAGTAAGCAGCCACCCTACTGATTTAATGTCTTCCTTTTCAACCCCCCTAGGAAGTCAGTTTCTGGAGAGACTGTTTTCGTGCCAGTGTCCTTACAGAAGAGCTATGGGCAGTCTAGCTGCAGGCTAGAATCCCTTGGTTATTTAAGAAACACCGTGGCTGGGTCTCATCCGAAGAGATCCTGCTATGACTCACTCAAGGGAAAACCTGAGTTTAGATAAGCCTGAGTCACAGCTTTAGGAAGAAGACCTAGAGGGAGGAAGACTCACATCCTGGAAATAATAAGCAACATCACAGTTATTTGGGGAAAAAAGCCAAGATAATCGAGTCTTAACAGACTCAGCCTCATTTGGGTTTAAAAAACAAAAACAGAAAAAAAATCCAAAACAGATTTCTGGGAATACTAGCTCCCAAGTGGCAGGCAGCCTTTTAAACTGTGTGTGTGTGGGGTGGGGGGGACCTGCTTCTGGACTATAGTTTCTGAAAGTCGGTTGGTAAATTGGGATAATGTTTTTTAGTAATAATAATAATAATCACAAATTATATTTTTAACACCAGACATTAGAACGTCCCCACTGCAAGGAGGCTGGCCTGTCTCCTGCCTCTTTCCTCTAGTGACACCTGTCTTTCCCTCAAGTCTTAGCTATTTCAAGTTGAGTCATGATCTCTCTAAATATAACAAGTCTTCACAAACTTCCTGCAGCACTCCTCGTCTCCAACAGAACTTACAGTGTTTTACAGAGGAAGATGATCAATACACTAACCAAAAGGAACAGAGAAATACACGCTCACACCATATTTAGAGACAGTTTTCCAGCTCATAGAAAGAACCAAAACTGATTCTAAGTACCTCCCTCCCTGCTGGCTCCGCCCCCACAGATGACTTTAAATAGCCTCTTTTCTACTTCTGCCCCACCCCATTCCAGTGCTCCCCCCAGATTTCTTATTAAAGACATGATTACCACTAAGTACTTACAACAATTATCTTTCCCTTAAGAATTATAGTAGCGGGTTTTTTTTTTTCTCCTCCTGCTTCCATTGGTACTGGGGCTATTTGCAAATTCTCTGAATTCCTTTCCTTATATGGCATATCTCTCCTTGATCTATCAGCGGATCTTTTGAAAAACCTAAATAAACGTCCTGCAGGAGAATTTAGGGGTGACTGGGCATCCACCATGTAGCATGTATAAAGCAGACATCTGACCCACATTATACAAAACAGGCTCAGAGTTGTGAAGCCTTTTTGTTGTTCTTTTTTATAAACTCAGTTAGGTTTTAGCGTGAGTTTTAGCTAAACCAATGCCTCCCCAATCCTCCCTTTCAAGAAAACGTAATTGTCACTGAACTTTTTCTTTTTGTCTGATCCCAGTGTTGGTTGTCTGGCGAACCACTATCAAGAGCACTAGATAAATCTCTAGCCTTTTGTGATACAAAGGCCCGTGCAGATTTCAACATCCTTGGGTAATCTGCATTTTACATGTTATCCAAAAATAAATAAATAAATTACAAACTGCTGTTGAACTTGGTGGGGTCCAACTTCTGGGTGTAACTTTCTCTGCTGCTCACACATTCTTGGAACTGTTATCAGCTTCCCAAGGAATTCTTTTCTAATTGGGCCTCTAGGCTTAATTGGCTTCTTCAGTGGAATGTGGCGGTGCGATTGGAAAACTGACCCTCAGTTTGACTTTCTAGACAGAAGTTTAGACAGTTTGACTTTCTAGCTCTGGGGTAGAAAGGGCGCTGAGCAGAGCTGGCACTGTGTCTAGCACCCCCTGGAAGTACGTCTGTGGTGGTTGTCAGAGGACTGGCAGGTGGGGGTGGGGCGGGCAGGGGGCAGCCAGCTCGCTACGCCATATAAAGCCCTGAGCTATATATAACTCCCTGCGTACTTTCTGGATCCAGTGCTTCAGACTGCAGACCCAAGCAAGTATCATCTTCCCTGGGCAGGTCTTAAGGCTTGCCTAGTGAGAAAAAGGGCCTCGAAGTGTCACTGTAGCCCTCAAGTTTAGCGTCCGAAGTAAAGGGATGAGTCCATGTAAAAGCCGGGTTCTCTGAACCCGCTCACACTAGGTCCATGAGCTATAACCACCGGGGGTTGGGAAGTGGCAAACAAGAACGCTAGGTACTCTGTTTTGCACAGACCTTGGTGATGACTTACACTTCAGAGGTTTTATACCAGCAGGAGGCGAAGTTCACCTCTAGCAGTCAGTCCCCTTTTCAGAGGCAGTGTTCTCCCAGCTTCGTACCCACCCACCTCCAACCAGAGGGGAGGAGGTAAAGAAGAGGGAAAAGAGAAAAGGGAAAAGACGGAATATAAATGAAATGTGTGCGGCAGCGGAAGGCGGCATCCAGTGCTCTGGGCTACAGCCAGGCTGTGTGCAGGGGCCCTGCAGGAGGAGGTTCACCCTCTTCCTTTGCTCTGCAGCCCCTGTGGTGACCCCCAGAGTGTCCACGCGGACAGGAGGTGAGGGAGGCAGTGTGAGCGTGCACTTACATCTGTGGCCTTTTTCTCCGCCAGCTCCAGTTTCTCCTGGGCATCTTTGAGAGCCTCAGAGTATTTGTCCAGTTCATCTTCAGTGCCCTTGAGTTTCTTTTGCAGTGACACCAGCTCATCTTCCAGCTGGGAGTTGGCAGTGGAGTACGGGGAAGGGGGAAGGGGGTGGGGGTGCGGCAGGCAGCGTGATCCCGCAAGGTGCAGGTTGAGGGTGCCCAGACCATAAAGAATAGGGACAGCGGGAGAGAGGAGAGAGAGAGAGGGAAAGACAGGGAGGGAGAGAGAAAGAGAAAGAGTTAGCCATTCGTGTGCAGTGCCACGCCGCGCGCCCGGGTACCTTGGCGGCGGTCTCGTCGGCAGCCAGGAGGCTGTCCTCTGCCTTGTGCAGCTCCTCCAGCACCCGGTCCCGCTCGTCCTCCGACGCCCGCAGCAGCTTCTCTTTCGCTGCGATGTCCTCCTCGAGCTGGGGCAGCGGCGAGCGGGCGCGGGCGGCCGGCACGGACCGGGTGTGAGACACACAACAAACGGGTGCCAGGTTGGCTTGGGCCCTGGGGCTAAGGGGATCGCTGCTTTGGGGCTCAAGGGACCCTAGTTAATCTCTCTCCCTGAGCTGGACCCACTCAGTGACTCATCTCGCACCCCCACCCCCACCCCGGGACCACATGCTCCAGCCGAAGACAGCAAGCTCAGGTCCCCAATTTGAGGGACTGAAGAAACACGCCCTTGTTTGGCTAGCTTTCTATCTGTGTCTCCCATTCTGTGCCATCTTTGTTCTTAGGAAATAATTCAGTGACTCCCTCATCTTCCCTTCCAAGTCTTCATCCCTTGTTAAGGGCTCTTTCTACCCAACCAAAAAGTCCAAAGAACTTCGGGCACTTTAGGACTTGAGCCTTGCCCCGCTCCCTCGCCCTTCCCTCCAGGCAACCCGGGAACTTGTATCCTTTCTTCCTTCCTCTTTCAAAACTGGCTCCCAATCCTAAGAGTCAAGAGCCCCTCTAGGGAGCTCAGTGGACCTCGCGGACCGTGGGAGCCAGAGAAGGGCCACAAGCGTCCTCAGACGAGACAGAAAAGTTAGAATCAGTCTAACTCTCGCGCTTCTCCTTCTTTTCCTTTTTAAACACGCGCCCCTGGACATCCTGGGCTGGGAATGGGTTGGGGAAAAGGGAGCCAGTTCGGGTCCCGGGGCTGAGCGACGGACGCTGAGTTGGGGCAGTGGGGGTTGGGGATAGGCGCAGACCTGCTTGCTCCGGTCTTCCGCGGCCTTCTTGTCAGCCTCCGCCTGCTCTGCTCGATCCAAGGCGTTCTCTTTGTCGAGCTTCAGCATCTGCATCTTCTTCTTGATGGCGTCCATGGTGGCGGCGGCGAGGGGCCCTTAGGCAGCGGAGCGAGAGGAGACGCGAGCGCGGTGGGGTGGCAGAACCGGAGTGCGAGCGCGGAGCTGCCTGCAGCTCCCTGATATGTACTTTCCCAGGGGGGCGACCGCATTCCTTAGGACAGCCAATACTTTTTTGGAAAAGCTTGTTCCTCCTTCCCCCTTTCCCAGTCTCCTGCCTCCGCCCCATGCCCCCTCCTCGCTCCTCCCGCGGGGGCTGCACGCCCATTCGCTGCCGCCTGCCGGCCTCCCAGTTGACGGTGGATATGACTATATATGGGGACCCGAGCCTCCGAGGCCGCGGCCGGGCGAGGCCGTCCTATTTCTAAACCTGCACGCCTGGGAAAGTGCGCCGGGACTTCGCTGGAGAGAAGCCCGGCACTGGGCGAGAGTCTCTTAGCCACCTCCCAGAGCCATCGCCTGGTCGTCAGGGTCCCCAGAAAAGCCTGCCCGGAGCCCCCGGGAATCCCGGGAACAGGGCAGGTGGTGTGTGTGCACGGTCTCACTTGGCCTCCAGATCGTGGGGTGCTCGCTGTAGGGTCCGGGGGCTGCCTGCCAAGGCCACTGCACCTCGCATCTGGGCCTGGGAGCGCTCAGTACTCAGCTGTGTCCTTCTGACAGCTCTCAGCCCACCCACCAGTTGTAGTCCTGGGTTCTAGGAATTTCAACCAGAGTGGAGAAATAGAGGTGGAGGAAGGTGTGGAGGTCATTCCTGAGACCCCGTTTCTCTGCCCCTGATGGTGGACACAATGATACATACAGGAAGTCTCGAGTCATTTCATCAAACCGGGAGTGGGTAGTAAAATACTTTAGAGACTTAGGGCCCAGATGTGGCTGTGATGTGCTTTGGAAAGGGCAGGGGGAGTGTATCAGTGTGTAGAGGTTTATGGTCCCCCCCCCACCGTGGGAGGCAGTGGCAGTGGTGTGTGTGTGTGTGTGTGTGTGTGTGTGTGTTGCGTTTAGACTCAGTTAACATGGGGTCTGGTCTTTAGTCATCGGCAGCTGTGTAGCTGTGATTCGTAACAGCTTCAATGCTGTAGCTTCCCTCCATTTATTTATTTTATTTGAATGTTTTACTATAGTCGTTTACTTATTGGGGGGCGGGGTCATGGCGGTGCACTCGCATCACGGTGGGCTGTGGAGGTCAGAGAGCAACTCTTTCTTTCTACCACGTGGGTGTTCGATCCAGCACAGATCTCTGTCCTTGATAGCAAGCTGCTTTACCTGCTGAGCCATCTTGTTAGTCCAGTTTCCTCATAACTAAATTCAGAGGGTAGAGGAGTCCTAAAATCCCTCCAGATCTAGCTTTTCATCTTTGCCTTGCTCGATCGGTGTTTTTATCCATAGCCTGAACTCTGCAGAGGGAAATGGGCCAGTCAGTTCTGCACTGAAGGCAGGGGGATTTTTTCCCCCTGTATCTCTTTAACCTTGCCTCTGTTCAGTCCCTAAGGAGGAGAAGCCTGATCTTTTCTGGTCCAATGAGGCTTCAGGAACGGGGAGGGCTGTCCCCAAACCTTACCGATGACCAGCTGAGACAGGGTTGTGAGGGTCTTGTGACCAGTCCCTACAGAATAATTTACACCCTGTACTACATGGGTATCAAACATTCCCCAGACAGTGTCTGAGTAGATTAGGTAGGCCAAATGATTTGCGAAATCCTTCAATAAGAGAAAGATCATATTCCTCTTTAGACTTTTATCAGGTTCCTGGCGGCCCAGGAGGGAAAACATACACTCTTATAATGACCAGAACATTGGAACAGAATGCACAATGGCTTTGTGGCACAGAAAATTCACCAGAGCCCTTCTTTGCCACATGTCAAATGGCTCAAGGCACAGACACCCTTCCAGGCCATGGTTAGTATTCCGATGTGTGGGCTATAGGAAGCTGACTCCCCAGCTTGGAGTTTAACAGAGGAAAAGAATAGGGACTCTGGAATTTAGAAGCTGAGATCCAAAATGGTGGACGCTTCTTTTTAATACAGCCTTGGCCATGGTGCAACCTCTTAAAGCCTCGGTTGTCTTCTATTAATGAGGTACTGGAGTAGATGCTGGCTTTCTCCATGTGCTAGGCATGGTTAAAAACTCCCTAAATCCAATTTAAATAAGCTAATGGAACAGCCCATTAAATATACCACAACTGGATACCTGCTACATACATGACAGACAGTGTTGGACTCTGAACTCAAAATTGGGTGACGTATAACTTTCTCATCCAGATGTTGAGATCAAACAGCAGTGTAAGACTTCAGAAAGGAAGATACAGGAAGAACCAGGTCAGAGCAAATCAAAAAAGCTTCTTTGGGAAGTTTTACAACAGATTTTAGAGAAGGGTCACAACAGAGATTAAGAAGTCATTAACACTGGCTGGACATTAGGTTTCCTTGGACATCGGACTGGAAAGGCAAGCTGAGGCCAGATGGCAAAAAAAAAAAAAAAAACCTTGGAATTCTAGGTTGCCCTTGAACTCCTGTCCTCCTTCCTCTGCTTCCTAAGTCCTGGGGTTACACATGGCTTTTGTGTGGGTAGAAGCTATTGATTTCTTTCTACCTCTCCTTAGCTCTGGTCCTCTCACATACAGCTATACTCAAAGGCTGAGCCTATGGAACTCAAGTGTTACACCGAGCTAACTTTGGCTGGAGGGGCACACATTCTAGAGGTCGACCTTAGGTGTAGATGACATCCCGAGGATGTCATCTACATTGGTTTTGAGATAAGGTCTCTCATGGCCTGGAACTTGCCATCTAGGCTAGGCTTGCTAGGTGGAGATCCCCCAGAGATCTGGCTCCCCAGCGTTGCAATGGCAGGTGTGCATCTATTCCGTGGAGTGAAATCAGGTGCTCACTGAGCTAGCCCCCTAGCTCCAGAACTACCATATCATCAACACTGATGGGTTAACATGATGTGTCCCTGAGTTTAGCCGTTACCATTTCACCCCTCTGAATAGTCTGACAGCTGGCCAGGTCCCACCCAGCTTCACAGACGATACTACCCATGACCTGCCTTCCATCAAGGGAAATGACAAACCAGATGTCATGATTTCTATAACAAATCCTGTACTAAACACATCTTCTGGGCCTCAAAGAGGATCGTGAAGAGAGGGCTGAATTGCCACTTGCTATATGGTATATATTCGCTTCTCGACAACTGACCATGAATAAGAACAGGTATAAAGATGAACCAAGGAGCTAGTGTTGTGACCTGTTGGGCAAAAAACGAGCTGGGCTGCTCAGCTTCTCTCTCGCTGTAGCTCACACCAAGAGACACAGAAAATATGAATTATTAACTGTTGAAGTGAAAAGGTTAGAGTTTGGGCTGAAGAGGCCATGTGCATTATGTTTTTTAAATTTTTTTTAATGTTTTGTTGTGATTATGGTTATTTACAAATGTTTGGGCTCTCTGTCCAGCCATTGCCTTGGCAAGTTTGTATATCTTCACCAAAATAAGTTATGTACTTGCTTTGGTCAAGAAAATGGGAGCGTAAATGACTCGTGATTGGCACTTTAGCAGCTAGCCTGTGGCTTACCGTATTTATTTTTTAAGATTGTTATTTCTCTGTCCTTCTGGGTTCCCAAGAGACCTCTTTCTCTCTCTCTCTCTCTCTCTCTCTCTCTCTCTATCTATCTATCTATCTCTATCTCTATCTCTATCTCTCTCTCCCCTCCCCTTCCCCCACCCCTTCCCCTTCCTCCTCCCCTCCCCCTCCGCCCCCACACACACCACACACCCTGGCTAAGTCTTGGCAGGCATGTAACAAGACTAAGGTACAAACTTTTGTGATTTTAGGTTGTTGAAATCTAGGGCTTGTTTGTTACTGAAACAGAGCTAATTTTCCTGACTTATATACCCCATAGACCATTTTAGATAGGAGGAAGCATGGAACTCTAGTCATAGAGGTAGGAGAATTCAGTAGCCATGTCAAGATGAATGGAAGTACAATTGCAATTCAGAGGGAGATTAGAGATTATCTGATCAAATTTATTTTCAGGAAAGCCTTATACTTCTTATTTCCCCGGGACCTATGAGACAGAGAGAAGTTCTTGACAGTAAAAGAGCTGAGGTTTTTTTTTTTTTTTT